ATGTCAACAGATATGGAAAACAAAATGATGACCAACAGATTGGAAAAGGTCAATACACTTCCCCATTTAAAAATCTCAACACCCTTCCTCCAGATTCCCATAATACATTCTTGTTGACTATGCATTTGTTTAATTGGACTCTTGGCACAAGAAAGCTGATGCCACAATTTATCTTTTGCTGATTTTGAAACAAGAGGCTAATAACAGTTAAATGTTTGAGGGGGAAAGGGGTCTTGTATACAACAAGAAAATGAAAATATTAAAATGGTGTTTTGGTGTGGGTTTGTCACATACTTTGAAAGTCACTCATTCCAAAAAACAGGGAGGAGGGGTACAACTAAAACATGCCTGCTATGTTATCTGAATTAAGGGCATCTTATACTACAGGTCCTAAGCCTGTTTATGCAGGATAATGTTCAATATTCAGTTATTTGGATAGGACTGCAATGTAAGGCTGCCCACCTCCATGGGCTCAAGAGCCACTGAATGTGGATGACTTCTTTATATACATACTAGTAACAATAACAATTCTGAAAGCAACAGTTTCTTTTTAGGAGATATACATATCTGTATATGTATATACAAAGCATGGTTTTAAGAAGAAGAATTCCCTCTTGTGTAGGAAAAGGGGAAATGCCTCTCCTAAATTATGTCTGACTTTTTCAGTTGCTGTGTTTAAAAATCACTTTTCAGTTCATCAGTTTTTTAATCAATGAAATCTAATGATTAACCAACTAAGCATTGTAACCCTAATTATATACTTTCCTGTTTCTTTGTTGTTGTTTTTAAATGCATGTATAATATTACTTTGGATTTAAATGTGCTATCAATCAATAGCTCTGCTTGTTCAAATGGATAACATTTCCCTGCAGCTAGAAAAGCTGTTTCTTCTGTATCCTTCCCAACTTAGCTGACGTCCAACAGCTTTCATTTCTTAAACTGCCACACTCCTGAATGAAATGTGGAAAACTTGATAAATTCTTGTCCCAAAATATCCTACAAGCCAGAGGGCAATGTGAATCTCTAGAGGCTGTTGAACTGCAACTCTCATTGTCCCTTACCACTAGGTATGCTGGTTAGGTATGATGGGACGTGCAGTCCAGCAACCTCTGAAGGGCCACAAACCACTCTTACTCTTGCCAATAAGAGTAGGTTCTGGAATAGTTGGGAGTGCATCCCATTTAATTCAATGGGACTTGCTTCTGAGTCAACATTATAAAATTTTGCTGTTAAGCATATTTAATTTGGTGAGGTGCAGAGGCAGTTGGTACGGCAGACAGGATGGCAGTTATGTATCACCAGATGCCTAGGTGTCAAGTCTAGTTGTACTTTAAGGACATATTCCTATTAGAGTTTGCCTTGATGAAAGTAGAAGAAGTGATGTGATTCACTTCTTCCCCTAGCATTGCTAAAATTCTAGGTCAAAGCTTGTCTGTGAAGTGATCAGTGATAGAGTCACATGAACTGACAGTTCACAGCTTAACATACCTCATGCATGACTTCTTTTATTTTAATGTGATGCTCATTTTGCTCAGTGATCTCCCTTTGCTTGCAGTCAGAAAGAATTTCAGTGAGAAGTTATTCCAGACTCATGTCTGTTGAAGCTGCCTGCCTGAAAGAAGAGATGAAGCAGAAATACAGGCTTTGCAAAGGTGGAAAAATCAAATTGCAATAGGTTACTGGGCCATTTTTCTGTCCTGACCTGGTTTCTAAGCATGTGCACCTGCCCTGGTTCTCCAGATAAATACTAATAATAAAAAAGATGGAAATTATAAATTAGATGTAAATTCTACATTTAATTCTACACATTCTACAAAAGAGTTGCACATACAGTTTAGAATACAGGGATCTCCAGATGTTGGAATAATATCCCTATCATTCCTGACCTTTGGCAAGGCCTAATAGGAATCAAGAGTCAAATAATACATGAAGACATTGGTTGCCCAACTGTGGTTTAGAAGAATGTGTACTCTGTATTTCTATTATACTAATACCCTTTAAGAATAAGGGACATTCATTCAGTTAAGGTAGAGGGTCTGGGGCCCTCTTCCTGACCTCTGCAGGCAATACCCACTCATGTTTTGCCAAACCAGAAGTGATGTTCTGCACTTACATTCCACATTATGGTTCTTTATATGTAAAGAATCAACACATTGCATGGTTACATGTAACTATGCACTATACAATCTTTCTGCTAAATACTGACATTGTGCAACCAATTGTGTATCTGGCAATGCACCTGCTTGTTGTCCCATTGTGTATTGGGGAATTACACTGGGTGTTTCTGCAGTCCCGTGAATAATGTGGTACAGTGGGCCCTTGTAATCTGCTGGGTTTTGGTTCCAGGACCACCACCACCCCCCTATGGATAACAAAATCTGTGGATGCTCAAGTCCTGTTAAATACAATGGCATAGTAAAATGATGTCACTTATATAAAATAACAAAATTGAGGTTTGCTTTTTGGAATGTGTATGTTTAAAAAATATTTTTAATCTGTGGATGCTTGAATCCATGGATAAAAAATCCGTGGCTACAGAGGGGTGACTGTATATTAAAGGCACTGACAAACAGCAACACGTGGCTGGGAAACCTGTTGGTAGATAGAGTAGGGTAGATTATTTTCAATCAGTTGTTGAATGTTGAGCCAACATATAGATAAATCCCATTAATTCAGTGTCTATAATAAGCAGGAGTAGCAGGAGTATTTAGACACAACTATTATGTGGTTGGAACTCCACTTACACAGCCATGAATTCTGCATCCATGGATTCAACCTCCTACAGTTTGAAAATATTTAAAAGAATTTCCCAAAAGCAAGCCTTGATTTTGCCATTTGATATAAGGGACATCATTTGACTATGCCATTGCATATAATAGGACTTCAGCATCCATGAATTTGGTATATAGGGGGGTCCTGGAACCAACCCCCAGTGGACACCAAGAGCCCACTGTATAACCATATGTGTATGCCATGAACAGGATTTTGGCCCTGGACTTTTCCAGCATACGTGTCATGGGGCAAACTAGAAAATAAATGCAGAATTGTGTACCCTGAGAATTCTGAAGATGTGTTTCTCCATTTCAATCCCCCTCAAATTTTTGGAGGGGGCAGAAGTGGTTGCCCAAATACTAATACTAAAATTACTGAACCAAAAGATATTAAATACAGCATGGAACAAGAGCCAGTGTGGCACAGTGGTTTGAGTGTCAGAGTATGAGTCTAGAGACCAGGGTTCAAATCCTAGCTCAGTCATGGAAACCAACTGGGTGACTTTGGGCAAGTCACACTCTGTCATCTTCCTCAGGGGAAGGCCATGGCAAGTATCCTCTGAACACATCTAGCTAAGGAAAACCCATGATAGGTTTACCACCTTAGGGTCACCTTTAGTTGGAAATGACTTGAAAGTATACAACAACAAACTTGTTCCAGATACTTACAGCACTGGCCAATAAAGGCAGAATTGCAAAACTGACTATTGGACAGTTAAAATCAAATGAGCAAGAGGAATCGGCTGATAATGACACTGAAGTCTCTCTTCCTTCAAATCTTGAAGTGTAGACAGAGGACAAGATTTTAAATACTTTTTCCACTATTTCATAAATTCCCAACCTATTTGTAGGAAAGTGAAACCACATGGCCAAGAAGTAATTAAGAGAAATAGAAACAAAAGTTTTGAACAACTCATTTCAAAAATAAAAGTAAAACTCAAGAAGAGAACAAAACCAGTCATCATACCAAAATATGATTTAAACATTTCCACAGAATTCATTAACAATATAAGGAACAGATTTGCAGTACTAGGAATAATAGATCATGAACCAGAAGAGCTTTGGTCTGAAGCCAGGAACATAATAAAAGAAGAATGCATAAAGATACTTCCAATAGTCAAAAGGAAAGTGAAGAAACAATGGATGACAGTAAAACACAATAAGCAATAAAGGAGAGAAACAAAACAAAAAGGACATAGAAATAAACTAAGAACCATACTACAACTACTACTACTACTACTACTAAAATTTATTTATATCCTGCCTCTCTGTAAAATACCACCAGGGTGTCTTACACAATAAAATGAACAATCCTGTCCCCCAACAGCCTACCCCCCCTAAAATACAATTAAACAATCAAAGTTTTAAAACATACTTAAAATAACTACTACAATAAACTACAATAAATGACAAATAAATTGAATAGCTGTAATGGAAATCAGGGTCAGGCATAACTATTTTCAGTGGCTAGCAAGTACAATGGCTAGTGTGCAAAGTGATACAGTGATAAATGTAGAGAAATAGAAGACAACAACAAAAAGGGAAGAATGAGAGACCTATTCCACAAGATTCAAGAAAACAAGGGAAAGTTCAAACCAAGGACCAGGATGCACTACGACAATAAAAATAACATAATTCAAGACCAGGAAGGAATAAAAAGATGATGGATGCAATACACAGAAAAGTTATGTAAAAGAGATGACAACATGAAGGATACATGGAATGAAGTGCCATATCAAGATGGACCCCAAATTCTAAAAACTGAGGAGGAAGGTGCAATAAAGGAAATGGCAAAAAACAAGACTCCAGGAACAGATGATAT